AGTTGAGGCGTTCGATCTCTGGACGGTGAGCATATTATTCCGACAGCAAACATTTCCCGCAGGCATTCGGAGCCTGGCGTTTTTACCTGTCCAAACTGAGATAAAGTTCGCCCCCGCGCCTCGGATTTAGGAATCACGCGAGCAAAAAGTAGCTTGGAAGCGTCCCAGAGCGTCAGTGGCTCGCTGAGACAGACACGTTAAAGGTCTGACGTGGCGTAAGAGACTGGCCCTGCCCCGGAGCGTCAGTGGCTCGCTGAGACAGACACGTTAAAGGTCTGACGTGGCGTAAGAGACTAGCTCTGCCCCGGAGCGTCAGCAGTTTCGCTGATACAGACACGTTCACGGTCTGATGTCAGTCACTGTGACACACAGTCACTGGTGTCAGTCACTATGATGAACACAACGGACATGCACAGCGCGGCGTGTAGGGATCGGTGTGGGCTGTCACAGCGCGGTGTGTAGGAGATCGGTGTGGGCTGTCACAGCGCGGCGTGTAGGGGATCGGTGCGGGCTGTCACAGCGCGGGTGTGTAGGGGATTGGTGGGGACTGTCACAGCGTGGTGTGTAGGGGATCAGTGTGGGCTGTCACAGCGCGGCGTGTAGGGGATCGGTGCGGGCTGTCACAGCGCGGTGTGTAGGGGATCGGTGCGGGCTGTCACAGCGCGGTGTGTAGGGGATCGGTGGGCTGTCACAGCGCGGTGTGTAGGGGATCGGTGGGCTGTCACAGCGCGGTGTGTAGGGGATCGGTGCGGGCTGTCACAGCGGGTGTGTAGGGGATCGGTGTGGGCTGTCACAGCGCGGCGTGTAGGGGATGGTGCGGGCTGTCACAGCGCGGTGTGTAGGGGATCGGTGCGGGCTGTCACAGCGCGGTGTGTTGGGGATTGGTGTGGGCTGCCACAGCTCGCCGCCCCAAGCGACAGAATCGGATGTTCCGCGTGCCGTTTTAAGACCGTTCTCCAGTGCTAGTATCTGCTGTCCAAACCACGATGAGTACTGTTCCGGCATCATCGTGAAGCCCGATTCAAGCCGCAGTGTACAACGTCTATTAAGCAGCTTAAGATACGGCAAGTCATTTTACTCTGCCGCTTTCTCTGGCCTTCTCAATTTGGCAGGTGCGCACATTAGGGTGTGTCATCAGTAACGAAACCGAGTGAGGAAAGATATTCCTTGGCGCAGGAGTCCAAAAGTACACGGCATAGCAAAAGCTCTTCCCAAAAACTTAAATTCGTGCCGCGCGAGCCGATCAAAATATAGCCGCAAACCGATGCCCGGCGCTGCGGTCACTTCATGCTGGGCGGCGCCTGCTGTCGCAGGTAACACCAAGCCGTGGACGGCAAGCGATACAAAATACTTTTGCGTATGGAAGCGATGCCACCGAGCGCTCCTTAAGCCGTCGTACGAGAATGCCCCCGTCTAAGGTCTAATGTGCGGATCAGACATTACCGGATTGATTGCCCTATGGCGGAAACTTTATGTGGTGTTGAGTATGAACTCGTTGCATAAGTATGTTGGTTAGTATTGCTTTAGGCTTTCACTTCTCCAAGGCAACTCACGTGATGCAAACAAAACCATGCATAGCATATGACTCAGAGAATTACTGTCTGGCGTCCAATTCAGTGCATATAGCAAGTTCTGCGGCCTGTACCATGGGCGGTAGAGAGGGGGGGGGGGGGGTTAGGGTGACCCCATGCACATGCTGCTCCTTGACGAGCCTGCGTATTCGATGTACCGGCCCAAACAGCAGCTGCTCACAGACTGGAAACCCAAAACGCGTGTTGGCGGGGATCGCGTGGTAGCAGAAATACCTTCACAGCTGGGCTCCACATGTTGCCGAAGCTCTAGCTCCAGCCCCAGACGTCCTCGGCAGTTCGGCGCTGTATGTACTCCTTGTGTGAGCTAGACGAGATTGCCAGTGTAGCTTGCACTTTGTTCAGCAGCTCACAGTCCTGGGTCTCGCATTTGAGGCTGTGTGACTGGTCCGTGCCAGGGGATCAGGTTGGTGTGCTTCATGGTCTCGAAGTTTACTGCTGAGATGGCGAAGACCCTGGGCTGAGTGAGACCCTCGGTTTGCTGCTCACGAGCGGCGCGACGATCGGAGCCACCTGTTCGCGGACCATGCGGTTCTCATCCCGCACCATGTCCAGCAGCAGCCGGTCTGGATGGACCTAGCACCCATTAGGCTGGCGGACTGGCTGCACCAAGGCCTATGTGTGCTGTGGCAGCTCGCGGAGCAGTGCGATGCTCCGAAACAAGTTGCGCAAGCCAAAGTCGCAGATGCTGTTCTGCCGGATGGCGGACCATACCGGCACATACTGGCCGACCACGCACTGAAAGAGGCCCTTGAAAGCGTTGCTGGAGGTTTCGATAGAGATGTAAACTAGGAACAGGCGAGCGGCCAGTGTAAACCATCTGAAAGCAAAAGCGAATATATTATAATAATTCGTTACGAGCCGAGCATAAGATCGTACACAAATTATTGCGCCTCTTAAGTGCATATAATCATGCCGATGTCCAGAGTCCTTAAATGTGACAGAATGGGTATCAAAAATAGCTAGTAAACATGAACCAACGAGCAAATGATGCGACATGCTACGGTACGAGATATGCGAATAAGAAAATGCTCAGCAGTAAGCTCATGAAATATCAATTGATACTTGATGAAGCTTAAAGAGCTGTTGCCGTAAATTCGAAGAAAATGCGTTTTCATATTTACCTGGCATGATTCCATGGTCTTATTCGTCGCTGGGCTGCCACGTTTCGGACAGAGCCGTTTTGGACGCCGGAGGCCAGAAGGTAGAGCAGCTGCTAGTTGGTGCTCAGCTGCTGAATCAGGTCGACCGGCAGGTTTGGCACGTGGCCCAGCATAGGCTTGAATGCCACAACATTCTTCTCCCAGACGCGTCCGGTGCATGTCTTGCTGACGGGTCAAAAAAAAAAAAATGATCCCGTGGTCGTGCCGTCCAAGCTCAGCAGCAGACGGAGAAGGCTCAGCTCGTTGCCGTGCAGCTGGCAGATGAACCAGTGTACGGGTGACTCGGTGGTCAGCTCAGACAGTCGGAACACGTCGGCTTTCGTCTCGGTGTTGACGGCCGTGCCATCGCAGCCGCGCACATTGACGTGACCGTCGCACTGCGGGCTCATGGAGTGTAGCTCGATGAGCAAGTGCAGGGCGCGGCCGAACCCGGACGTAAAATGAGTTACGTAGCGGCTGCATGGCTCCGCGATGACAGCCACGTGTTTTTGACGGCATTCGCTCGGCTCCGGTGACTCATGTAGCTCCTGCCTTCGCGGCCGTCAGAGTAGAGGTCAAATCCGACCCGGATTACTCCAGCATTTTGACGAGTTGTCTCCTTTCTCGCTCTGTCTCTTGCGCAGCATATCTTCTTAGGATCTGTGGTATTTGGTTTCAAGTAGCCAGTCCGTCTCTGCTGTCTTGTTGAAAGGCATTTATGATAGCAGCAGCGACCCGGTTCGAGCCACGGTAGCTGTCAACCGCCTGCGCGGTGTTATTCAGATCGTTAACGTTACAATCTACAGTGACAGTGGTCTCAACCGGAACGAACAATCGGCGTCGTATCACCTTCTAGCGTGTACGAAACCGTGTAGTAATTCGTGCTCTCGGCTGAGTCGCCAGCGCTGAGGCCACTTGGTCCCGGAGCAGGTTTGAGTTCAGCACCAGCAGCCAGCGCTGGCTCAGCAGGCGGCGCTGGCTCAGCAGTCGGCGGTGGCCCATCAGGAGGCGCAGGCTCAACAGCCGGCCGGGAGGCGACTCAGGTTCAGCAGCAGACACCGCCCTACTGGCGGCCGGGCCATGACGCCCCTGGAGTTGTCTGACCATCCTCCGCACCTCGCGAGCCTCCCTAGTCATAGTTGTATCCCGGTCATATGACCCCAGGGTAAGCTCCCAGTACCTGCATTGGTCCTTCAAGACAACCTCCTCTTGATACACCGTGCAGACAATTGGGCATGGAAAGCTGCGCTGAGATTTGCACTTGCATTCTGCGACATCAAGAAGCTTGTTGAAATTCGCGGTGGTGGCGTTGCTGTGTTTCTCTCTTTCTTTCCTTGATTTCTTGCTGATAGGTTTGCTGGGATGATGTCAATCCCTCTCGATCAATTTTGGTACGTATTTTAGATCATGAACAGGGTCGCTACGCTGGTCTACAGTTACCTGATTTCTGCCGGTGCGGCCTTGGAGATGGTATTAGTGAGATTCCTCTTCGATTCGCTCAGCCTCCTGATGTAGCTCAAGGCTTTCCCGTAGTCGGCAGTTGGTGGTGGGACGGTGGAGCCGGGTGACCTATTGCAAAATGTTTTGTGCGCGACCGTATAGCCCTCGGCACGCTCGTGCAAGTAATTGATCGAAAGAAATGTTTCAGTTCCGGCAAAACTAAACTAATAAACCCATAGCACCCACACAACAAGCATGTAAACTGCAAATCGACACCACAATGGTGTGTTAACAATTGGAAACTCGCACCTACCCCAGTCTGCTGGGGCATTCTCATAACTGCGCAGCTTTGGGTTTTACTAAAAATTGATGTTCTTTAATAACAAGCCAGCTTAAGAGTTGTTTGGCAATGTTTTGCTGGCGCTCTTCATGATATCTATTTCATACCTAATCCACTAGGTACCAGTGGTGTGGAAAGTGGCAAGTTTGAGGCTTGCTGGAGGATGATCCCAGTGAGTAAAATAGGTGGCAATGGTATCGAATGCGACTTCTGGCGTAGCCAGGAAAAAAATGCTCACGCGTCACGAATATCAACATGGTGTACTTGCGACAGACCTCTAAGTTTATCATCAATCCGTGTGCCAAGGAAAAAAACTTTGCCTTCAGCTGATTCCAAAAGATTCACCCCTCGATGACACACCCTAGTGCACATACGCTTGGCTGGCTTGGCATGCAAGGCTGGACTGCGGTGTTTAGGCAGCTGACCGTCCACAAGGCAGTGGTGCTATACAAAGTAGTTATTTCTCAGTCGTTACACATTTTCGTCAGCGGGATTCTCACTTTTCGTGTTAAGCAGCTGGGCCCGACGGGGTTACAGCAAATTGTTCTTTATTTGGGTGGAGAGTAGCGTACTTAGCGATAATCCGACGTTGTTTTTAATGGTGGTGGGACTGAACTTTGAGCATGTGTCAAAGTTAGGTTGTGTAATTGTTCTACCCGATATAAACAAAACGCTGCAAATAGCCGGCGTTGTTGCGCACCAGCAACACCTGTACACCGATCTTGCTCAGTGGAGTCGCATGGGCTTTCATTTGATCCATTTGGGGGTGTGCACCGCAAAACGACTCATACCTTGTTGCAGCCCGTCACACGGTCATAGCCTGTCACATCCACGTGTCACCCCATAAACGCGCGCACCCCCGTACACCTGTCACAACCCACAGGACGGAAATCGTATCTTTACTTTAGGTCGACTTTTTGAGGTGGCCTGTATTAACCTGAGTACTTGGTTGCAGAGGAACCGCTCCGACAACGTTTCAGCACGAAAATAAGCCACCATATGTTCATCCTCCCTCCGGTGAGACGCATCTTACCGCGCACTCATCAGTCAGTGTCTGTTCACTGTTAGCTGTTGATGGCAGTGAGGTAAAGTGTCATTCTAGCATCACTGAACTTGCAGACTGTCCGACTAAGACATATCTGACGCATTTGTACGCATGTTTGCATGTGGGGGTGTTCTGGCACGCATGTCTAGCCTGATGCCGATTGCCAGTTATGAACCGGATCACCAGCAGTGATCCATAAGATTTTAAGAGCGAAATGCTATTTCGACTGCCCCCCTCCCCCCAACCCCCAACCCATTCATTGAGTGGAAGGAAATGCATTAGAGCGAATATAGCATGAACCCCACAAGCTCCTCGAACCCCTTCATAAGTCCAAACAAGATCGTTTGAGCATCGCTGCTGCTACCTCCGCACTGTCCAGGCCAATCTTGTACGGCTGTGACACAGCCACCAGCCCGCCGCTGCATCGGCTCCGGGAGCACGGCCTCGGCCGCACACTGCAGCTGCTGTGTCACCGCACCGGCAGAGCCCCGGCCCCGCCGAGCCCAGGCCCAGGCCCAGGCCCAGGCCCAGGCCGACGCCAGCGGCGGGAGCGCGTGCTAACGGGCACCCTTTCAGAGCGCGCGCCGGCGGCGACGGCCGACGAGCCAGGCTCGTCCCAGCGGGTGCCCAGCCAGAGGGAGGTGGAGCTGCGGCAGCCCGGCCAGACTCAGGCCCGGCCCGACCACACGCACATCGGTAATGCAACGGCACGAGCCGGGCAGCGCCCGCACCGCAGGCTTTCGCTGGCGCTTTGATGTGCGCACTGTGACCCCGGCGGATGGACTTCGGAGGAGGGAGCTGTGAGGATGCGTTGGTGCTGCGTTGGTACTGCGTATTGCGATGGTGGATTTAAAGCCGGGATGGGTGCTGTCGGTGCATGGTTTGCTGCCTTTGGGCCAGATCATCATTTCAGCATCTTGCATAGACTTCGCACGTATTCGCCAATGATTGGCGTTGAAAATGCCCGTGAAAGTTTGCGACTACAGGAAGCCTCGTTCATGGCTCCTTGTTTGTACGTCGTCCCGATCGCCATGATGAACGCATCCACCCGAACCTTGTCCCAATTTGCCCCTGCACTGTTTCAGACGCTGACTCGGGCAATATTTCGGAGAACAAGTACACGTTCGGGACAGCCGGAGTCCTCATCAAGCTTCACCGACCCAGTCGCCGTCTTGCTCGGGTTCATGTTTCTGCTCGTGCGGTTAAAACCAAGCGTCCGCGAGCCCCGAACGTAGTGTGGTTCAGTTCATGGATGCTGCGCCGGCGGTTGCTAGCGGCAGGCGTTGATCAGTACCTAAGATGTTTAATGTTGTTTATATGGTGTCGACCAGCTCGGGAACATGAGCCGGGTGGACGAGGGCGCTGTGAAGCCGGCGAGATGAGAGAGAGCGGGCATTGACGGTGCTGGTTTAGCAGGTTTCTACAGGCAATGATTCCGAAATCAGTCCTGTGATCATTCCGACGGGGTATAGAAACGCATAGAACACGATGTTGTCAAATGTTCATATGATTCTAAAGATATCCTTGCACTGTATCTTAGCTTGTGCACGTTATCGAACTGATCCACGCAGGAGTCACCCACCCACGCACGACGGATGGTCGTGAATTATTACGTGGGCATGTATTTGTTCGATCCGTTGCTTAACTAAAATGCGGTAACGTGCAATGAACTGTTACCGACGTGAATGGCTGAGATGGCTGAGGACGACAATATGCGTCTTGCGACTGGGATAATAAAGACGCCTGTGATGTTGAGAGCAATCCAGACGCACCTACTGTACCTGGAGAAGGAAGCATGTTCCGCCAATAGAAGCGCAATATGGTAGGCGCGGCGGTGGCCGCAACAAACATCATTGCAGTTGGTCTTAATCCTATCGTCACCATCGAATACCCGTTGCAACTTTCCACAGTCTTCTTCATCCGTTGCAAGGTCATTGCGCGTGACCTGCGTTGACTATTCTGCCCGGAACCTTTCTTGGCCGCCGTGGTTGGCGTGCCCAGAGCAGCGTCTCAGACAGCGGGGACGGAGCGTGCACCTGGTCAGCTGTGTATCCCTCACGAAACCTGCCGGTGGGGATGGATAAATACAATGACGCTACTTGGCCGATGTCATGACGATCGCAGCCTCGAGCCAGCTCGCGTGTCTGCTGCGATTGCACCGCCCCCTTGCGCAGCGCTTGTCTAGGAGCACATATTGGGATCCGCCGTTTACGGGAAGAACTATGGAGCACAAATGCGTGTGATGCTGCACTTCTTTGTTTTGCTTTTTGGCGAAATCCTTCAGGAGGCGCCTAGTTCATTGAAATGGGCTCTCGCGATTGGTTTCACACATGTCAATGCCATCCGCACCTTTTGCTAGCTAGGGGACAAAGCGAGAAATACTAACATCACTGTAGGGCCAGTGTCTAAAGACGTATATTGACCAATTGCATGACGTGTGCTATTAACATTGGCCGTAAACATTGACTTCTTTTAATGACTGGGGTTCCCAGAGCCGTCCCTGAACTGTATCATGCGCTCCTAGTCGGTGGCTATCGCTTTCTGCGTCCATTTACACGATGAATGGCACCATCATCTCCTCCCGCCCACCCCACCGCACAGTCGCGCCACCACATAAACTCGTCGGCTACCTTGCTCCTCTCGTTCCCTGTAAAACCCTCCGGCCCCACGCCACCCTAGCCCCTCGGCCCCCTCTTTTGATCCGTCTCGCACTGCGTCGTTCCCTGCCGCGCCCTGCCACCGAGCGTTCTCCGCGGCCACCTCGTGCGGCTATCTCGCGTCCCGCCAGCCGTCACCCAACGCACCCTGGCTGCTCGGGCCATCGACATCCGGCTCCCTCCCTCCCCCCCCCCCCCCCCCGTCTGGCGCCGCTCATTCTCCCACGGTGTGCATTAAGCGCACCACGATCAGACCGCGCCCCAAGACCGATTGCAGAGCAAATCTGCCAGTGGTGATGAACGACGCTGTTTGCGTATTGTCGGTCGGCTGGCAGGCGTCGGTCGCCGACCTGTTGGGAGACGAGCTCGCGCGAACGCGCGCCGTCGCTGTCGACACCGGAGATCCCGGCCGACTGATCGGCGGTGCTCTGCCCGGAGCGGCACCGGCAGAGGGCCGATATCACTGAGTCCTGCTCGTGATCTGCGTGACTCGGCCCCGCGTCCTCCCAGCAGAATCGCCGCCATGACGAGTGTGCTTCCTCAGATGTCATTGGTTCCAGAGAGCAACGAAATGTTTTGTGTTGCTGAAAATCTTGTGGTTCTCGTTATTTTGACCACAAACCTTACGGCAAATGTTCTGTCCGACTGAATAGCTTTGTGTTCTTTGATGAAGATGCTATCATTTCAAGCACCTGTCATTAGCGCATCGGAAGATATGCGTTTGCAAGCAGCTATTGGCAATGATTGGCAGTTAATTATCCACACTGTATGTTCCCTGATGAGGCACATACATCGAAAAATTAAAGACAGGATCATGTCACTAATACACACTTAAACACAAAACTATAAAATCACCATAAATCTGAGAGTAACGATGCATATTCCGATGGGTTCAGATGGACTTATTGCGAGCGAGCATTGTGTGAAATACAAGCTGCCATAAATAGGACGAACAGAAATTGGCGGTGCTTGTTTCCGGAAAATGGTGATGCGGACACCGTTTCTTTTACTTTTCAGACACATTTGCCGAACGTGCAGCTCACTGCGGCAGGCCTTAGTCAATATCTCACTGATGACCGGACATTGGTCAAAATGATGGCAAAAGCAGGCCGAATTCAAACAAAGGCACTAACGAATGTGAAGACTGGTGATGTGAACACTGTTCACATTGTATTGTTTACGGCTGGGTTACCTAACATTTTGCACTGAATGCTACTCAAGTTCTGGGGGAGGACATCGGGGCTTTACGACGCATTCAGCTGCTCAGGCTATATGGCGTCGCCTGCCTCTCAACCTGGCAGGAAGGGCGGACACCGCGGGGAAGGGAACCCCGAGGCGGAGAATCGTAACCAGAGGCGTACCTCTGGTTTCCCAGACGTGCAGTGGTTAACACAAATGCGTTAACCACTACACTACGACACCCTGCTAATTGAGTTCGTAAAAGCCATCAGTTCATACGATGGTCCCAGTAAGGCGCCTTTTGTGATGTGAGATGAGAGCGGTGGACAAGGAGGTGACGATTATGGCCACTTGGGTGATATTAAACCCAGGCGAATGTACACAGCTGACATTGGAGCGTTTGCAAGCGGGTCATATAATTACACATGGCCGTACTTCAGGACACTTTTGGGAAACACGTCCAGAAGCTTCACATGCGTGCGTGGAAGGCAAAAAACGCAATGGGGTCTCAAAAGGCGAAACGAGGCCGGAAGAAAATAACGGTTTCGAGTGGCTTAACGTGTTCATTACTGCAGTTTGCTTCCAAGACAAACGTCATCTGAAGCGCCTGCAAGGCCCGATTATGACAAAAAAGTGCCAAGATGTGCATAGATCTGCGTGGGACATTTGCCGGACGTGTCTTCAGCGCGACACGTTTTCCGTTTTCATCTTCGCAACTGTCGTAACTAAGATTACCCCCCAAAGAAGCTGCAATTTGTGTTTGCTTGGTACTTCGTGTGCTCCCATGAATGAAAGCTGCAAATGAGGTCATTTGTAACGTAAGAAGGCATTATATCACTTCTTTATAACTGAGTTTGTGGCTCCCTTTCTGTCTGTTGTGTTCTGCCTGTCTCTGTTCCCCACTTCAGCCACCCTGTCTCTCAAAGCGGCGAGGTCTGACGACCAATCGATCGCTGAGACGTGAGACCGGCATCAATGCATCACAGCATGTGGCTGCCCAGATTAGGCCGACACTGCTAGGATTGCGGCACGAACTATTACTTAAAGGGAATGTTCCTCATTTGAAAGCATCGAAGCAAGCACCAGATATGATAAATAAGGTAGTCATAGGTATTGGTACACCTTTAAGTGGAAAAGACTGCTCTGGACGACACAGCTTCTCTGTCTATTTAACACGCTCCTCAACACGTCATTGACTGATTCCGTCGCGGTGCCTTGAACGGCATTGACTGAGAGCCAATTGAGGGCCGTTGCATCTGGAAATCGTGCTCAAGAATGCCCGACATAAACGATCTGACAATATTATTTTATCAGCTTTTCTCGCCGCATGACTAATGACATGGCGGGATTTTAATGACGTTAAGGAGGCATCATGGATGCCTGCATGACCTTGAAGCATGCTCACCAAAATATTCCATCTTTCACATCTTCGGAGTCGTGAAGCCCAGAAACTAGAGGGAATTGCGTCTTATGAATGGCAAACCTGTGAATTGCACCGAATGATCTTCAAGGTGACGTTTTTAGTCCAGACCTCCATACAAATATGGGCCACTTCCTTTTAGTTTATTAAGACAATAGGTTGCTTTTAGGGGTGCTGGCAGTCTAGTGGCTAAGCTGCCCGTTTGGGAAACCAGAGGTGTGGGGTTCGACTCCCCGCGGTGCCCGCCCTTTCTGCGATGTTGAGAGTCGGACAACGTCATATAGCCTCAGCTGCTGAATGCACAGAAATAAATTAAGCGCAGGTACTTCTCAAATATCCAATAGCACAATTGTACCACGTGAAGTAATGCCCTACAAAGCAAGGTGCAGTACAAACAGTAATGCCCAGTAGAAAACAATTGTAGAAAACGGTAAACAAGCGTAAATTACCGAAGTTTGAAAGATATTCAAGAAGGAATCATTTGTTTACTTGTTCTCTAACATTCAGTCATGGTAAGGTCAATTCTCAGCCATTGTTGGAGAGTGTGCACCACCAGCAAGTATGAAATATCGGTATGATAATCGGGGTCGACTTATCCCGAGTAAGATAATACCAATGCAGGCCATGAAAAGAAATCATTTCTTTCATTTCAATCATTTCTTAGACATGCAGTGCATGTCTAAAACCAGAATCTTTCATATCCACGGGGGCTAAAAAAGCTACCCGTTTCCAGCATATGATCGGTATCTGCAAAAACAGACACTTCTGTGGGCAATTTGGTGAAAAATTGCGAGAAGGGAAGCAAATTACAGCAGACCATCTCAGTTAAATGAAACTCAAAGCTAAATATTGGTATGACTCGCTAACGCTTGCAGCACAACCTTGTGTGGAACACATGTCGAAACAACAACGTTTCGCTGTATGAGCAACTTGAGGCAGC